TTATTTCTCAAACTATTAATGTTAGGCATAGGACATATGGAATATAAAAGATGTAAAATGAGACGCCGAAGACGACTAAGTAATAAAATATGGGGGGTGCCATTTAAAAAAATGAAGTTATGGTGCTTCCAAATTTCGAAAAGTTAACGTATCATAGTAAAGTGACCAAACGATCTAGACAGCCGTTCTCGGCACCAAAACATACTCCATCATGTTGTTTAAGCATGTTCTGAATCCTAAATTGATATCTCAAAAATTGAGTGTTCTATGATTTTTTGAACAAATGTCCGCTGGAGCAAATTCTTTTAGAATAATTCGAATAACTCGAGAATTGCTGGTTCAAATTGCAAAAAGTAAAGTTATTTATAAACCTTCAAAATAGACAAATCTAAATATGTAAAAATATACAGGGTGTTCCATTTAAAAAAATAAAGTAGGTGGCGACTTCCGGTATAACCGGAAGTGCTAGAAATCTGAAAATATTTTAGATGAAGAGAACGTAATTGACAATACTTAAGTCTGCATTCTCAAATTTGTTGTTTGGCCAGAACCCCAGAAACGTCTAATGACCGGTCTGGCTGAGACACCCTGTATATAAATTTTTCTATGATTAATGCTTCGAATCTAGGAAATTTTTCTTTGCAAAAAACTTGGAATAGTCAATCCTGATATTCATATCTTATTGGTACTTTATTTAAATAGTATCAATAACAATCCTTTCAAACCTGTTATACCTTGCATAAAAAAATTAAGCTTGTTTTTTATTTTTAGTTATTTAAAAATGCATGTCGGTTACTACAACAAATACGGACTTTTAGTAACCCATCCAAAAAAGACAGCTGCCAATTACTTCTCACATTCATTCGCTTTGGATATTATGAGCGTTTTCCCATTATCTTGGCTAGTATTATTTTTAACAAACACCAGAAATGTTATGGTCGAAACGTACCTTCATTTCAACGTTATGATTCAAATGTATCGATATCCGAATGCGTTTGCAACCGGTGGAACTCGCATTTATAGAAGAGATCCGCTTTATATGTAATAAATTAATTTATTGCATAATTACAATAATACCCAAAATCTTTTTAGAACCATTCTTAAAACGATCCCATTTACTTTAGTTATAGCAAACTTTTTTGCATGCATTTTAATTTGCCTTTCCGGCGAAGAGATTAATGTAAATGGCCAAATGAGTATGCAAAGATCTAAATTTAGTTGGCTTCAAAGTGTTAGTGGATTAGGTAAGTTTTAATTCGAATTAATTTTATTTGAATATCATTTATTTTTTTTTTTAGAACATTTAAATTTTAACGATCCACTTACGTTTTTTGCATTTTCATATTACATGTCGTTATTAACGCTGCTGGGTTCAAATTTTAATCTTTTACGTCCTACAACCGTAAAGGAGAGTGTATTTTTTATATTTTGCGTTATGATTGGTTATTTATTAAAACTTTACGTTACGGTTCATGTTGCACATAATCGTTTTATCCTCACTCATAAACTCACTCAACATCGAAGTAATTTGGCGCATTTATCGAAATATATGAAAAATGAGACGGTTCCTAAAGAACTACAAAAGTAATTATTACTAATAATTTAGTTTTAATTTAAATTATTTTTTTTTTTAGCAAAATAATCGAACATTATAATTACGTTTGGTTTATTAATCGGGGTGAGACGCCTAAGAATATTTTTGGTATATTACATGTTCCGTTAAAAATGGATGTTGTTAGTTTTTTGTATAGAAACACGTTGGCGAAAATTCCTATTTTTTACGAAGCCAACGACTCATTCTTTAGACATTTTGGGTTGGCGTTGAATGAAGTTTATCGGAGGAAAGAAGCGTTTATTTTTCGGGTTAACGATATCGTTGATAACGTGTTTATTATTCATAAAGGGGAGGCGCAAGTTTTGGGTCCTGATGGCGCAATTGTTGAAACTTTACACCAAGGGAGCATGTTTGGGAATTTAGATAAAATACCCTCCACTAGAAGTATGATAACGGTTTGTTCGACGACTTTAGTTGATTTATTGGTGCTGAATACTTTAGATATGTACAATATCTTAGCGAATTTTGAACACATCCAAGCAAAGTTGCAACATTATTTACTTTTGGAGAATATGGTAACATTTTTATGAAATTTTTAATCGATTTAATTAATCATTTTGATTTAGTCTTATGTGGGCGGTATACGCGATGAAAGTGTTAGTTTCGAAGAGTTGGTCGATGAAGTTCACATTGATGATTTTACTCCTTTTGAATCGTTTTTATATGGGGCGAGACACTCGACGTGCGGTATACTTTTTGATGTTATTACTTCGATTATTTGTTGTTGGTTGGTGTCTTATCAAGTCGCATTCTTAACTCCATTCAATTTCTTTTATATTATTTATATTTTGGATATTTATCATGTTGTAACCGTGGTGTTTACTATGATTACACCTTACAAAGATAAAACGGGTAAACTTATTACTAAAAAGCGAAGAATTTTTATGCAGTAAGTTAATAGTTAAGTGAAATAAATTAAATCAAATTTAATTTTTTGTAGTAATTTAAAACTTAGAAGATTTTATGTGGATATCTTTACAACACCGCCTTATGACCTAATTGGATTTGCGTTTAAAAATTCGTATCATATCAGAAATCTTATCGGTATTTACAGATTGTTGAGGATTGGAAATGTTTATTATGGTTTTGATAGATCAAATGCGTTCGGAGCTAAAGTTATTGTACTCCGATTATTAAGATTATCTCTTACTGTTATATTTATGGTGCACGTTTTTGCATGCTTTTGGTATTTTAAAGCATGCCCGTTTCAAAGATGTTTTAAAACTAGTTGGGTTAACAACAGAGAGAGTTAATATGATTTTTTATAAAAAAATAATTTGTTTAAATAATATTTTTTTAGAGTACTCTTGCGATGTACCATACATTTGTAGCATTTATTTCACGTTATCAATATTAAGTAGCACAGGATTCCGAAATAGAGTTCCAACATCCGGTGTAATAGCAATGCTTCTATGCTCGATATTGGTGATAGTGGGACAATATTTAATGGGTAGCATTTTGGGCGATATCATAGCTTTAGTTAGAAACAGCAACATGGATTTTGCCGAATACAGCTTTGAATTGGCAATCTTTAAAGTAACTTTAAAACACTTCACTTAATAATTAAAATTCTTCTTCCGTTTCTTAGACTTATTTAGAAAATGGTTCCGTATCATTTCCATTTTTGCAAAACATGAAACGATATTGTATCTACCTCTGGTTGGTTGAGCACGGAGATCAAGTCCCAACTTACTTAAGAATAATGCCAAAGTTTTTACTAGAAGAAGTAAAACAATACGCTTACGGAAAACACATTTTTGAAAACGTTTTTTTCGCGGATTGCCACCGAGACTTTTTAAGACAATTAATTGCAAAAATCAAAATGGAATACTTTTTCCTCGATGACGTAATTTGCCGACAAGAAGACATCAACAACACAATGTATTTTGTTCATAAAGGAACCGTAAATGTCTACTCGATAACCCCCAGCGAAGAATTACACGTGGATCAATTAAGCGAATTCGATTCATTCGGAATTGTATTAAACCCAAACTTAATAATTTTATTTTTAATTTGCTTTATTCTTTAGATACAAGGATTATTCCCAAATACTCCACACACTCACACATACATAGCAAACTCAGTTTGTGTTATCCTATATTTAAAATACGAAGATATTTCTCCGTTATTAACATTTTATCCAGCTTCGAAATTTGAGATATACTCAAATTTAAATTTGTTAATACCAGCTGCTGTAACCACAACGAAAGGAAGGAAAGTTATGATGTAAGAAATTATTACTGTTAATATTAGATTTAGTTTTAATTTTTTTAATGAATTAGGCAAAGCGAATCTGAAGAAGATCTATTCAAATTTTCATTCCGCGATCGAAAAGAACATCAAGATCAAGATGATTATTCAGAATCAATTCAATCAACTGATACAGTTTCTTCAAACTAATTTATTTACACGTACATATTTAATATTTATTATAAAAATGTTGAATTCAAAATCTCAAGAAAATAAAATATTTTCTATTCTATGATGATTGTAACATATTTTATATCAAATTAATTATTTCTAATAACTTTTTATATCAGAATATTTAATCAAGATTATTTAATTTTCTTATAATCATCAAATGTCTTAATGATCACGGAATTTTCTGGTGGAGGAGCCGGGTATTAATTTCATCATTATGCTTATCCATGATAGGAGTATATCGTTTGACGATAAGGATGGGACATAAATCGAAAGATTTCAAATATGAAGATATGCAAGAAGTTCTGGGAAGAACTTTTTTAATAATACATGCAATTGGAGAAAATTTAACGGTTATCGTTAATTTATTTTTAAAATAGGTTTGAACGAGGTAAACACAAGATTACCAACAAGCTGGGGTTGATTGGAAGAAAGTTTCAATCAGCGGAAGTTCAAGAAGTAGGAAGTTTTTATCGCTTGCAACGGAAGTTCTAGTAAAGAAGAATTTCGGAAGTTAGGGAAATTAGAAAAGCATACACTGAGGGAAATATATTCTTGAACGAAGATTATTACTCTTGGCACAAGCTTATCATATTCTTGTATATCCACAAGAAGATCGTTTTGTTAAGTGAAGAAAAACCACATATTCTCAAAGCAAGAATACAAATATTCTTGATTCTCAAGAAAACGAATTTTTAGTGAAAGTAAATCAATCATTTTGAAAACGAGTATCTTACTGTTTCGTCAACAATCCCATTTTCGTATCGAGAATAAGTTTCTTATGTCAAGAATAACGTATCTTTCTTTTTAGAAAAACTTATTCATGTAACAACAATCTTATACAGGGTCATCCACGACGACGGTCCATTAGAACTTTACAGGGTTATGGCCAAAATACAAATTTGAAAATTCAGATTTAAGTATTATCAATTAAAAAAAATAAAACATTTTCAAATATCTAACACTTTCGGTTATACCAGAAGTCGCCACATACTTTATTTTTTTAAATGGAACAACCTGTATATTTTTACATATTTGGATTTGTCTGTTTTCAAGGTTTATAAATAACTTTACTTTTTGCAATTTGATTCGGCCGTTCTCGAGTTATTCGAATTTTTCTAGAAAAATCTGCTCCAGCAGACATTTGTTCAAAAAATCAGAGAACACTCGATTTTTGGGATATCAATTTAGGATTCAGAACATGCTTAAGCAACATGATGGAGTATGTTTTGGTGCCGAGTATGGCTGTCTAGAACGTTTGGTCACTTTACTATGGCACGTTACCTTTTCGAAACTTGGAAGTACCATAACTTCATTTCTTTAAATGGCATCCCCCATATTTTATCACTTAGTCGTCTTCGGTGTCTCATTTTACATCTTTTATATCCCATATGTCCTATACCTAACATTTATAGTTTGGGAAATAATTAGGGTTTATTGAAAAATGCACACAAATATCGATATTTAACCTAGTGTGTCATGAATACCTAGTGCGACCTAGTGTATAACCATATGAACTGGCCTTTTGAAAATTTGCAGACTTCTGGTAAATGTTTAGTATCATTTATGTAATCCAGGTGAACAAGATAAGATAATTATGTTCTTAATTGTCATTATTAAGCGTGGTAGGCACAATTTTTTAAGTGTCTTAGAATAAATCCTACAAATTTAAAACATCCTCTTGGAGATCTATTAATTTTATTCAAGTCCCTAGAAACGTGATTGTCATTATAATGATGGTTTTAAGCAACGTATTGGTTCTGTGTAATCATATTACCTATACAATAATATAGGTCACAGTTATCATTTTGCAAGGGGAGCTAACTTCACGTCATGGTATCTTTATTCGTTTTAATTATCAACCTCACTAGAACCTGGTTAAAATGAGTAGACTTAGTGTTAATCAGAAAAAAACTGAATTCTTGGGCTCCAATAAATAAATAAATAATTATCTCCAATACATCCAATTGCATTCAAGGCTTAATCTAGGATCTTTTTGGCACGAAGGAGGCAGGAAACAACATATAACACTTGATTCGAACATCAACTTTCAGCGAAAAATTTAATTTCATTAACATGGTGTTGATATCTCAAAGACTAAATGTTTGCTTGTCTATGTAGAAGTTGAAGATGGCTTCAGTTTACAGTTTTTAATTAGTGTGGGATCTGTACAATCTAAACAAACATTCATAAAAATTCACCCAGGTGATGTGCATTGTTTCATGTCATTAAAAATCATTGTAATTATAAACATAAAGTTTGAAGTTTTGCACTTTTGTTGTCACAATATGTTACTTTGCAAAATAAGTAGTTCAACAAAATCGAATGGGTTAAATCTCATATCATCGGTGAAATGTCTATACTACATAGTAATAAATTTAGTGGTAAAGTTAGGTGCTGTGGAGAACTATGCAAGTGATGTTCCGCCGAGATGCTGGGTTGCATACCCGACGAGCTTTCTCCAATTCTCATGGGAAAGCACTTCATGGATGTTTAATTGCGATCTATGTGATACTTCTTATACGCCTTTACAAATGCGAACAAAGACACAAACCACTATAATTAGGGTTTCAAAAAAAAATGGACCCATCCTAACATTTCTTCACGCTATAATTGGGATTTCAAAAGAAAACTGACCTATCCTAACATTCCGTCACGCCATAATTGTGGTTTCTTCACGCTATAATTGGGGTTTCAAAAGAAAACTGACCTACCCTAACATTCCTCACGCTATAACTGGGTTTCTTCACGCCATAATTGAGGTTCAAAAGAAAACCGACATTTCTTCACGCTATAATTGGGTTTCAAAACAAAACTGACCTATCTTTACATTCCTTCACGCTATAATTGGAGTTTCAAAAGAAACTGATCTATCCTAATATTATGCAATATTTTTGTCAGAGTTGATTGACATTTGTAAACAAAACTAACCTAACTCGACTTTTCTTTTCTGGAAGTCTACTTTTTTTTTAATCTTACTACTTTCTTTTTATTTTTAACGTGTTTTTTTGTGTTATTTCACATTGATTAAAAAAAATAACACATTTTTTGATACGAAAACAAAAGACGATAGCTGTTTGGAGTTAGGCATTAGCAGTTTCTTGAAAAACGAGATCATGAACTTTGACGACGATTAATAACAGGATTTACAAACTGAATTCAATGTGAAGTCAGCAGTGTTTGGAATTATTGAGTTAAATTAATCTGGTCCAGACGAGGAGCAAAATTCTTTAAAACTCGGTGAAGTCTCGAAACATCGAAAACCTCCTGAGAGGCTGTTTTGAGATTATTGGGACATTAAGGTTAAGATCACGAGAATATAGCAGCCAATCGATTCTCATCAGAATGGCTTCTAGGCACCCCACAGCCAGAATGTGTTCTCTAAAGTGCTTTTCCAGGATTTCAATTCGAACTCTTGGCAGATTAGTTCGATGTGGCTCCGTCTTACATGAACCACACCTTTTTGAAACCTGGGTTGGGTTGGGTTTGGTTTGGTTTGGTTGGGTTGAAGTTTGAATAATAGAGATAAGAACACAATGTACCAATTATTCCGTGAATTGATCGTGAAATGAGGTTTTCCAGCCTCCCAAATACGGTAATTCTGCTTCCTTAAACTAACCCCCTACTCATATCAAATTCTTGTATATCAATCATATCCACAATAGTGTCAACAAAGTACAAACGCCAAGTTATTAATTGTGTAAGGAAAGAGCTTCATGTCTAAAACAAGTTATGGTAACGTTTATACCAAGGATGGTTGAATCCTAGGAGGATCCTAATCTAAGAGGACTGGTTCTCAATAAAAAGGAGCGAATTTTCGTTTTAATGACGAGAGATTACGGGGTTAGAACAAGATCGTATAGTGAATTAGCAAACTTGTTCAACGAAGCATACTCAAATCGTTCTTCTTTCTAGAATGGGAAGTGCGGAGACCTGCAAAACATTCTGAAAAAACTGGATGTGCGATAGATGGATACGGATGGAAATTGAAAGTTTTGTATCTGTTTATTTTGGCATAAATTTTCGGCGTTATCTAGATGAAGTGTTTCCTATACAATGAATTTGAAGATAATAGTTTTGAATGACTTTATTGAGGATGCTTGCAAAACTCTAAACCCGAAAGTTTTGCAGAACTAAGACAACGAATGATCGATGAATCACAATTAATTTTCCGAAAATCATGGAGGAATATAATTAAACTTAATGTTTTGTTAAAAGAAGAGAGTACACACTTTCCTTCCTCAAAAGTCTGCCCCCATGCAGATGCCGACCCTGAAGTAATGGACATAACCCGTCCATCAGGTAGGGTTCGCAGCACAGCTGGGAATATTTTCACACCCAACAGAGTTAGGTGGGCTATCTCGAATTTCAAGCCCCTAAAATCACCTGGAGGAGATGGAATTCTGCCTATCTTTCTGCAAAAAGGCTTAGAAGACCTTCTCCCAATAATAATATCCCTATATATAGCTAGCTACAGCTTTAGCTATATACCCACTCTATGGAGGAAAGTAAAGGTGGTCTTCATACCTAAAGGTGGTAGGCGTTCAAACGCGGACCCCAAGGCGTACAGACCAATTAGCCTAACTTCATTTCTCCTCAAAGGGATGGAAAAGGTAATCGATCAATACCTAAGGAATGGAGTGCTTCTCACAAATCCACTCCACCCTAGCCAACATGCTTACCAGAAAGCAAAATCAACAATTACCGCTCTCCATGCTTTGACTAGCACCTTAGAGGAGGCAATTGCAACCAAAGAGATAGCCCTTTGTGCTTTCATAGATATAGAGGGTGCGTTTGATAACACCTCATATGAATCCATAGAGAAGGCTTTAAACGTAAAAGACATACATCCGTCGACAATCAAGTGGTGTATAGCCATGTTGAAAAGTCGGCAGATCACAGCCAGTCTGGGAGGCGAGTCGCTGACTATAAAGGCGCTAAGAGGATGTCCCCAAGGGGGAGTGCTATCACCTCTATTATGGTGCCTGGTAGTTGATGACTTGATGAACACCCTAACTAAAAACGGATTTAAGATACAAGGGTATGCTGATGACCTGGTAATCACAATCCGAGGTAAATATGATTCAATCATAACTCAGCTAATGCAGAAAGCCCTACTACTCACCAGTACTTGGTGCAGAAGCAATGGGCTCAGCATCAATCCCAATAAAATCGAAATAGTCCCTTTCACTCGGAGAAGGAAGCTACAAATAAAAGCACCCTCCATTGAAAGCAGAACTATTAACCTCAAAACAGAAACTAAATACCTAGGGGTAATACTTGACAGTAAACTAAACTGGAACTCACACTTAGATAAGGTGAGGAAAAAGGCCATCATGGCAAACCAGATCTGCCGCAGGCTCCTAGGAAGGAACTGGGGTCTCAAACCACGAATGGCTCATTGGGCCTACGTAGCAATAATCAGACCCATGGTCGCCTACGCCTCATTGGTTTGGTGGCCAAAAACAAAACATAAGACAGCTCAACAACAGCTGGCACAAATCCAGCGGTTAGCATGTCTTAACATAACGGGTGCAATGAGATCCTGTCCGACGGCTGCTTTGGAAGCCCTACTCGGTCTCACACCGCTCCACATATATATACAAAAGGAGGCAGCCTTAAGTGCCTTATCACTGAAAACAGTTTCTTCACTCAAGTTGATGCAGGGTAATCTCAGAGGACACCTCGAGATCCTCAAAGACCCATGTCTAAATCACCTGATTGAAATTAAAACGGACCTTATACCGACGGAATACAATTTCAACCAACCGTATAAGGTCATATTTAGTAGCAGGGATGATTGGGCGAAAGGAGGGCCTCAACTAAAAAGAGGAGCCCTAGCCTGGTACACCGATGCTTCAAAGACAGTAAGATCTGGAGTAGGCATGGGCATCAGTGGACCAAATAGCCACATCAAATTGCCCCTCAGCTCGGACTTAACAATTTTCCAAGCAGAAGTTCTTGCTATAAACTTCTGCACCGCTTTGAACCTACAGAAGGGACAAAAAGGTGCATCCATAAACATTTTCACAGACAGTCGGGCCGCCTTAAAGGCAATTCAGGCCTACACGTGTGGCTCCGCACTGATCAGAGAGTGCACCAACAACCTGAGAGAACTCGCTAGGGGCAATGATGTTACCCTATGGTGGGTTCCAGGTCACAGCAACATTGAGGGCAATGAGAAGGCCGACAAGCTGGCCAAAGAGGCAGCAAACACGCCCTTCATTGGACCCCAACCTGGATGTGGACTACAAAAAAGCCACCTAAAACAAATAATCAACAACTGGGAGGCTTCAAAGATAGCCTTACGCTGGAAAGAACTTCCAGGTCACAGACAAGCGAAGAGTATGATAACTCCGTCGCAAAACAAAACCAAAGAGGTTTTATGCCTCAGCAAAGGGGATCTAAGAACGCTCTCAGGCTACCTAACCGGCCATGTGCCCCTAAAATACCACCTCTTCCACATTGGACAAGCTGAGGATCAAACTTGTCGACTATGCAACGACGAGTCAGAAACTGCTGAACATATACTGTGCAATTGCGTCGCCAGAGGCCGTCTAAGGCACAACGTCTTCGGTAAAACTCCCCTGTTACCTACCGACATAAAGGTTCAAGACCTCAGGACAATACTAAGGTTCATTAAGGACCTACATTTGCCCTAAACCTTTGGAGGGCTAAAGTTACAATAGATCTTATAGGTCGCGGTAACGAGAGGGGCCGCCCTCCTCAGCCCGGCAGCAATAATAATAATAATAATTTGTTAAAAGAATCAGTTTCTACTTGAAAAAAAATGTTTCAATTTGATTTGCAAATTTGATGTACCACATAGGATTGGGTTGTACGTTACAATTCTTCTTCAGGTAATTGTTTGCGCATTTGTATAACTTTTTAATGAAAAAGTATAAGGTGGCTAAAAGTTTGTAATACTAAAAAATTTATTACTAAATAATATACTACAACATGTAAGAATTTTTTTAATAAATAAACATTTATACAAATTAAATAAGCAAAGCCTAGTATTTTATAAATTTACAAAAATATATCACATTTGAGATCGATATTAAGAAATTATTTCTTTTTACTCCTCAGTCTTATTTGATCTCGACGCTTCTGTTTAATAAATAATCTAAATCTTCGCTTATACTTATCATTACTTCATCCATATTCCCTGGTTTTTGTTCTATTTTACCATCATTCTCAACAACCTCTTCTTTAACTTCGTTAACATTTACAATTTCGGTATCTTTACATTCATTGATTTTATTATCATCTTTAGATATCTTTTTAGAGCACCCCGGTTGCGATTTTTGCACAACATTACTTTTTTTTTCTTTTACGCAGCAGTTGCAAGTTCTTTTTTGAACTTTCTTCTTTAATTTATCAGAGTTTCGCGCGCTGGAAGAAACTAAATCCAATTTAGCTCGGTTATCACTGTTTAAAATATCCGGAGCTTTGGTGCTTTTGATAATGTTTTGGATATCGGTGGTTGCAATGAAATTTTTGGTTAAATCTTCATTTCTATTCGTTATCTCCTCAGTTTCTATTCTTTCGATTATCTCGGAAGAATTTAATGCTAAAAAAAGTGGTTAAAATAAATTTATTATGTAAAACGAGTTTTGGGAGTTTCTTTAAAACGAAATTGTTTTAAATTAAAACTAAATTAATCTTAAAATGTCTACTTACATCATGCTTCAAACAAATAGATGCATTTACTAACTAAATACGTCTACAAATTATAAATAGAAACAATGTGATAAAATAAAATAAATTAAGTTAATTTTTTTGTTAACTTACAAGTGTTTTTCTTTGAAGCTTCGCCCTCACTTATCCTTTTTAAAAAGTATTGTTCCAAGATATCATCCGATTTTAAGATGTAACAAAATAATAAAGCCGTTGCTAACAATATTGAGGCTGTTGCAAATAATAAGTGGTACACAACGTTTTCATTTAAATTTATGTACAATATACTGGTTAATATTACAAAAGATTCGCCATAAAAGATATACATGCTTCTATTAAACAATACAACCCTGCAAGAATATCGTATTAAAAAAATGAATTAATTCATTAATTTTAATTTAGTTACCTTTTTTTGGAAATATTAATATTATCGTTATTCCTTATATGTTTCGCAATAAGGAAATACAACATATGATATGACACCATTAATATTGAAAAAGAAATCGTGAAAACACAAAATGATGTCGTTCCTATTATAACCCACCAAGAAATCGTTTTCAAATTCATCGAAATATGACTGAGATAGTTTCCAAATACTGTTATTAATGCAGGGCCGGTTACAACGCAAATTGAAGTCGTTTTAATATTATTTCTCCTTTTATTTAATTGTAACAAATCCGCGTAAATAATTAATAATAAACTTAATTGTGTTGAAATCCCTATTAATAAAAAAACTTGTAGAAAAGCTTGCGTGTATAAATAAGCCCCCTAAAAAAAATATTTTACAAAAGAAAAAATGAAAACAAAAATATTTACTTCTCCTAAATCGCTGGTAAATCCTAAAATAAATATACTCATCGACCCAATCGTCGAAGCCGAACATTGCATTTTTATAAAAGTAATTGAACTTCGTCGATATAACCAATGAAATAACAACAAGGTAGTAGTAAAAATAGCCGACAATAATGAAATGGCACATCCAACAATAACAATAATTCTATTGGGAATATACCTTGCGTTTGAATTCTGAAAAAAAATGTTATTAAATTTAACTTTTACATAAAAATTATAAAAATAACACGTACCGGTTTGTTATATTCAATTCCAATTACTGTAAACGTGCCGAATGTGTTACAAATGCATCTGATGCAGGTTGAATTTAAATTAATAGTTTTACACTTATCGGTTGACCAGAAATTGTGGTAAGGGGCAAACATCGAGTGGACGCAAGTAAAATTATAACTTACATCATTACTTTTAAGTTGAAAATCTAAAATTAATTCGAAATCGTTTACGCTCTGATCAATATACCATAGAGCTGCTATATCGGATGATATCGCGTAGTTTATTTCTGTTCCACTAAAATCATATTTGTTTTAATATTTGTCCAATTGGCAATTTTTTTACGTAATAGCTTACTTTATACGTAATACCGATTTAGTTGGTAAAAACGTGTATAAATTGTTATATATCACGCTGGATGTACTCGATAAATATTGTTTGTCATACTCGATGTGTTTTAACCTGAAAGATACGTTTGTCCCAAAGCCTGATAAATTGCTATAAAACAGAATTGGGTTATTTATTATTTAAATACCTTTATTATAGGGATGTTTTAAACAACGTTTAATGATTTTAAGGGATTAAGTTTAATGATGAAAATTAATTGCATTGCGCTGCAAGTTATCACATCTTTCGCATCATCATCTATTTTTTTATAACTCAATGTATGTCTATTCTGTCTATTGTGTATTTATTTAGCTGAAATAAATATTGTTTCAACAGAGTCTAGAAAAAGAAAATAAAATACTGTATGAAAAAGAAATAATCAGGAAAGAGAGTGGTAATAAATGAAGAAGACTGAACTGAGATTGGAAGGAGACTAGTAATGGATGAAAAAACTACACAAACTTTACAAAACATGATGGAGACTGACATTACAAGAAAGCGACTTCGCAGAGATTGGATTGCAGAGTGGACATGATTGGTAAAGAACTGATCATAGAAAAGACTAAATGGAGACTGGAAAAGAAGATAAAACTAATAAAGTGGAAAGCGACTAGGAACAAATTGATAATAGAAAAAAGAAACTAGAGAAGAAGAGGGAGATTGGCAAAGATGGACAATAAAAGGAAAAGAGAATGAACAGAGATTGGAAAAAAGAAAAAAAGTGGGTAGACAGACTGGTAATAGAAGAAAAAGATAGGAAGGAGAAGGGCGAGAAAGAGATTAGAAATAAAACAAAGAGACTGAACACTGTTTCGGAAAGAAGATGGAGACTGGTAATAGGAAGACGGGAAACTCACTGGTACTAGAAGGAAGAGACAAAGAGGATGAGAGAAGGAAGACTGGAAACAGTATAAAAAATTAAACAGTGTCTAGAAAACATGAAGGAGACTGGTATTACAAGAAAGCAACTTCGCAAAAATTGCAAACAGTAAAAACAGACTGAGTAGATAGGATGGAGACTGGCAAAAACCTGGTAATAGAAGATAGAGACTGAAACCAGAATAAAAGTATGGATAGAGTAGGAGAGAGTTGGCAAAGATGGGTAGTAGAAGAAAAAGAGAGTGAATAGAGACTGGAAAAAAGAAAGTTAGTATATAGAGAGAAGGAAGATTGGCAACAGACAGTAATACAAAAAAGAGATAAAAGGAGGAACTGGTAAGTGATTGGAAATAATAGAAAGGTAATAACAACAGTTGTATAACAAGAAGGAGACTGGTAGTAATGAATAGAAGCTGGGCAGAAAGGATGGTATTAGAAGGAATAGACAAAGAGGCAGAGAGGAGAAAGAAGATTGGAAACAGCACAAAAAGACTAAATACTGAATGGAAAGCAAAAAGGAGACTAGTCAGAAAAAAGGGACCGGTAGAGAGGAGTTAATCCGTTTTTGTATACCTATTGATGACAAATTAAGTTTTCTAATGTAACCTTTAAAACTAATATCTCAAAAAGTAATTGAGATATTAAGATGGTTTAAACACCAATTTATAGCAAATTTAATCTAATTGCAACAGACCAAAAGTAATTCTTTCGATTTTATAAATTCCGATGATTATTTAATTCAAATCTGCGATTATTGAGGTTAAGTTGATACAAAAGCAATTTAAAAAATCGTATCTCAAGAACGAATTGAGATATCGTCATGCAATAAAAAGCGATTTGAAGCAAATTTAATAAATATTTTTTGATATAAAAATCATTTCTTTATTCCTTTAAGTTTCGACGTTATGATTTTTTTAATTCATTTCTGTATACGACATATATGACAGATTAATTTTTTTAATATCAAACATTAAAGAATCATATCTCAAAAAGTAATTGAGATATCAAGATGATTTAGACGCCAATTTGTAGTAAATTTAATCTAGTTTCAAAACACCAAAAATAATTCTTTCGATTTTATAAATTCCGATGATACGATTTTTAAATTCGAATCTGCGATTATTGAGGTTAAGTTGATACAAAAGCAATTGTACATTGTATCTCAAGAACGAATTGAGATATCGCCATGCAATAAAAAGCGATTTGAAGTAAATTTAATAAATATTTAATGAGATAAAAATCATTTCCTTATTTCTTTAAGCTTTAACGTTACGATTTTTTTAATTCATTTCTGTATACGCATTTATAACAGATTAATTTTGTTAATAGCAATCTTTAAAGAATCATATCTCAAAAACTAAACGAGATATCAAGATGATTTAAATACCTATTTGTAGTAAATTTAATCTAGTTTTGACACACCAAAAACAAGTTTTTCGTTTTTATAAATCGCGATGGTACCATTTTTAATTAAAATCTGCGATTATTGAGGTTAAGTTGAAATGAAACAATTTAAACAATCATATCTCAAGAACAAATTGAGATATCGTCATGCAATAAAAAGCGATTTGAAGCAAATTTAATAAATATTTAATGAGATAAAAATCATTTCCTTATTTCTTTAAGCTTCGACGTTACGATTTTTTTAATTCATTTCTGTATACGCATTTATAACAGATTAATTTTTTTAATACCAATCCTTAAAGAATCATATCTCAAAAACTAATTGAGATATCAAGATGATTTAAATACCTATTTGTAGTAAATTTTATCTAGTTTTGACACACCAAAAACAAGTTTTTCGTTTTTATAAGTCGCGATGGTACGATTTTTAATTAAAATCTGCGATTATTGAGGTTAAGTTGAAATGAAAGCAATTTAAACAATCATATCTCAAGAACGAATTGAGATATCGTCATGCAATAGAAACCGATTTGAAGCAAATTTAATAAATATTTATTGACATTAAAATCATTTCTTTACTCCTTTAAGTTTCGACGTTATGATTTTTTTAATTCATTTCTGTATACGACATTTATGACAGATTAATTTTTTTAATATCAAACATTAAAGAATCATATCTCAAAAAGTAATTGAGATATCAAGATGATTTAGACGCCAATTTGTAGTAAATTTAATCTAGTTTCAACACTCCAAAAATAATTCTTTCGATTTTACAAATCTTGATGATACGATTTTTTATTACAATTTGCGATTATTGAGGTTAAGTTGATATAAAAGCAATTTAAAAAATCGTATCTTAAGAACGATTTGAGATATACTTAAAGATGATTTAAAAAGCAATTTATACTAAATTTAATCTAGTTCCCATACATCGAATCTCTAAATTGTGATGGTACGATTTTTTATATAGAGAAAAATTTAAAGAAAATTATCCTGACTTTATTTTTAGGAATTAAGTGATAATATTTATACCATATTAAAGTTAAAAGTCTATAATTTAAGTATGTTAAAAGATATCTATATGTAAATAATGAAATTTTTTAAGAAATTTCAGAAAATTGAAGACTACTTTTTGTCTTAACCTATCAATTAGAGAAAAATTAAAACAATCATCCTGACCTTGTTTGTAGAAATAAAGCGATAAGATTTATATCAGATTAAAGCTAAAAGTCAATAATTTAAGAAATTAATTTTGTTATAATTTTACATTTAAAGAAAAATAAAAGTATCCAGTATCAAGCACCTCTTCAAACACAAGAGAAGATAATTGTCCACCTCGAAACGCTTCAGCGTAAAGCCTACGTGCTTCAATAGCAAACAATCGATTGTTTACTGGTATGCATTACCACAAAGCCTTTGAATATGTGTAATCAATAATATCTCAACCGCGAACATTAATTATTAAATTTTAAAACCCTTAAAATCTGTAAACAATATTTAAAACACTTGGTAAGCAAAAAAGATTAAAAGTTTTATACCTTGTAAAGTTCGTTAATTGATTTATAGGATATGAGCTTGCTATCAAATTTTCATCTCTCGCATTGAATACTTCTGTGGGAGGTAAAAATGGTTTACAACTAATCAAAATGTTTTTCAACGCAGTTTGTAAAAGCGTAACTTGCTAAAAAAAATGTTGGTTTCACAGAATTTTATTTCGTATTAATCCAAACAAAAAGCGTTTGATAAAATAAAAGCCTACCTTCTCATTTATTAATGATTTCGGTTGTTCCAACACCGAATTAATAACTAGAATCGCTGCGGTTGCAATACTTTCAATATCCTCTGAATAATTTAACCGATGAATGTAATTAGCGATATCGTTTAATAAATTTACAATAACGACTCCTTCCCCCTCTAAAAGGGATGTTCGTTTCACGTAATCCAACGTTTCCGTTACCGTTTGGTTAAGAGTTGTCGCCTCGTAACCTAAACGTAAGTATCGGAACTGAAAGTAAACGGAAAAGAAAAATCGTTTGAAAAAAGAACATTCGAGTTTTACTCGGATAGCACAAAAAAGCACTTTCGTCTTATCTAAATTAAAAGATCTGCAGAGGGAGGAAAAACAAACTTTTCACGTCTTAGAAAGGTTCGAATTTATCATGTGCTCCGACAAATTGAAAATCCCGGTTTCAATTTCAGATATTCGATCATGAAAAATCGAGCACAGAATAAACAGGATGATAAATTATTAAAAATTACCCTTTTAATTATTCCAGTCATTGTCGTGGAAATACACTGCGACATATCGGGTATGTCCCATGCGGGGAAGTGGTTATCCTTCATTACGCATGACCTTTTTGAGAGTCCTTGATATCCGAGTGGACATTGCCTAAGGTTCTCATATCCTGGTGCTGTATCCGTCCAAAGCACTCCACTGGAATTATCCATTTTGCAAAGGTTTATTACAGTTGGATCTATTACGACTACGTAAATATTCTTTTCTCGTCGGACGGTTCCTTTTTGAACTAAGCAAGAGTAATTAGAAGATTTCTGAAAATAAAACGACCTGATTAAATTCAATTTATGACCGAATGCAATGAAATTTAAAAGATTCGCTAATATTAAATGAAAGCTTGAAAACTTTAAAAGGAAGGTAAACACTGAACCGAAAACTTTTGACTGTTTATAGAAGCTCACACCTCGGATGGAACACCGGGATGTTATTGCCTTAGAAAGCTTTTCACTCCGGTTACTTTTCTAACCCCATGTTCGTGCTTATATTCATCTCTTCAACATTATTTTTATTTTCAATAATATAAAATTTTCTGTTTTTATTTTAACCCACGTCAACTAGTCTTTTTTAAAACTTACATTTAATCCGTTTACCCTCAGTAGACTGCCTGTCAAATACAGCGTTTCATAATACTCCTTCCTCGTCCTGCTGGGCAAAAGCTCACCGTTTTTCGCCCAACTGTAACTAGTTTGTCCTTTGGCGTCACTGCTACACTCCACTGCAAAACGTTGCCCCTGAAAAAGAAAAAATCGCTTTGGATGGATTGATAGTAACTCGACAAAGAGATGTGAGCTGAACGTTTCGAGATTTGTTCGAAAGAGTGAAGTTACTTTTTTTTTATTCCTTTAGATAGCTGGAAGGCGTGATTTTCTACTCAATAGCTAGACATCGTAACTGCCCACACATACAATTTATAAGGGCCTTTGCGATCTTTGGTCTTCCCTCCTGTACCGCCTGGACAGTTTGGTTGGATGACTCCTCGGCCCTTATAAACCCGGAATAGCGTAATATATTAAAACCCTGACTGGGCGTCGTTATCTTTAATTTAGAGTTTCATTCGTGCAAGCTGCGAAAGTTTGATGTGGTTGTAAAGTGTAGATTTATTGCCATTTATATCACCATCATTCACACTTGAAATATTACATAATATAATCCATTAAAACATAAAAAAAAAATTAATCTAAGGAAGCGAAATTGAACAAGACACATCTATTTTATTTTATTTTCAATTTCATGTTTACTAATTTAACTCAGTTCGCGTCGGTACATCTTCAAGTTTCCTTGAATATTGACGCTGTACAAGCTGGCTATATACCAAATTTGCATATACATGTGTCGCTAATTTCGCGACGCATTAAAGCCCACGAGTTGAGCGGGGAGCTCGTTGAAAACTTCGTGCTTTGTGATAATTGTGTTAATTCGAAAACAACGGTCGCGGTACATGAAACTCTTGATGTGCGCCTAGAAATTTGAGACGCACTATGTCAAAACTGTAAAATTTCTAAAAAGTAACTTTTAATTAATGTTTTTTGAGATAAACTAGAACAAAACAGAAACATACGCAAAAAAAATTAAATAATAACGTTTGTACGTCGTGTTTTTTTTAATGAAATTTGATATCGCAGAATACGACGGTTATTCTTGTTTTTAACATATTTATTTTTAACGTATTCGTTTTAGTGATATTGAAATAAAAATTTATCTTCGACTATTTGTTCTTGTCGATTTTTTTGTGTTAAATGGATTAATTTTAATGATAAATTAGTCTACATCTATTCATCACAAATTTTCAATATTTTTTTACAAGATTTCGCTGTGTATTAGCTATAGAAATTGGTTTCTCAAAGCAACTCAACCTCACCATGCGTTAAGTTTGAATCACGATGAGTTACATTGGATTGGCTTGCTTTTGAGTTGAGTTGGGTTACTTTATGGACAGTTGAAATGAGTTACTTTGTCAAACAAACGTTAGTTTATGGTTGAGCAGCTTTGGGGTTAGACTAGTTTATGTTAAACTTCGACTACTTTGCGAGTAGACTTCCAAAGCAAAGTCGCTTTTTGGGTGAGTAGCCTTGGAGTTGCATTGGTTTATTTTGAAGTAAGATTACTTTGTGCTTATATTACTTTTTTGTTGTACTGCTTTGTGTTAAAATTAGGATATTTCATTTTGGTGTTGCTTTGGAATGTCTGGCTAATTTACATGGGTATCTTTGGAGTTGTATTACTTTACGGTTGAGTAGTTTTGCTGTTGGGGTAGTTTGTGTTGGAATTGGTTAGAGGTTGGGTATAATTATAATAGGTTAGGTTTTGTTGGCTTGTTTTATGGTTGCAAAACTTTAGCTTGGAGTTATTGTATGATGGAATTGCCTTAACGATAGGTTGACTTGCTTTGGAGCTGTGTTGGCTTGCTTTATGGTTACATACTTTACTTTGTGATTGTATGGGTATGGAGTTGGATTCCTTTGTAGTTGAAATGGGTTGGAGTTAAGTTTCTTTGTGGTTTTGTTGCTTTGAGGTTGGGTTAGTTTTGGTGTTGGGTTACCTTATTTTGGAGTTATGTTACTTTGAGGTAGAAAAGGGTTGGAAGTGGATTCTTTTATGGTGTACTTGCTTTGGAGTTGGTTTGGTTTCGACTTAGGATTACTTTGCTGTTAAGATATTTGTTTTGGGGTTGACTTACTTTATCGTTGGATTTCTTAGTAGAGGTTGAGTTGCTTTGAGGTTGGGATACTTTTGGTTGCCAGTTAGCTTGTTTTGTAATTAGCTTGCTTTGGATCTGCCTCGGCTTGCTTTAAGTTTGCTTTAAAGCCGGTTTATTTTTTGGTTAAGTTACTTTGTGGTTGAGTACTATTATTCTTGGAGTAGTTTGCGCTGGAATTGCTTAGGTGTTTTGTGTAGTTATAATAGGTTAGGTTTTGTTGGTTGTTGTTGGCTTCTTAATGATTACACAACTTTAGCTTGGAGTTATTGTATGATGGAGTTGCCTTGGCGATGGAATTGTGTTATTGTGGTGAAATTACTCTTCGAGAAACTTACTTAGTTTCTTTTGGTATGGGAATGGCTTACTTTGGAGCTGTGTTGGCTTGCTTTACGGTTACACACTTTAAAGTCGATTTACTTTGTGGTTACATAGGTTTGTAGTTGGATTTCTTTGTGGTTGAAATCCGTTGGAGTTAAGTTTCTTTATGGTTTAGTTGTTTTGCGGTTGGGTTAGTTTTGGTTTTGGGTTTTGAAGTTATGTTGCTTTGAAGTAGAAATGGGTTGGAATTGGATTCTTTTATGGTATAGTTGCTTTGGAGTTGCTTGCTTTTGAGTTAGGATCACTTTGTTGTTGAGATGTTTGTTTTGGGATTGACTTGTTTTGGTGTTGGACTTCTTAGTAGTGCTTGAGTTGCTTTGAGGTTGGGTTAGTTTTGGTTTTCGTGTAGCTTGTTTTGTAGTTAGCTCGGATCTGTCTTGGCTTGCTTTAAAGCCGGTTTACTATTTGGATTGTAGTTAGTTTGTAGTAGATAGTCGTAGCAAATGGGTTGGAGTGAAGTTTCTTTGTTTACTTTTTGATTAAATTACCTTGGGGTTGGCTTACTTTGTGGTTGAGCTACTTTAAGCTGCGTTATCTTGCATTAAAGATATTATAGTTTCTTGAGTTTCTTTAGATTGATTACTCCATAAGTAACTGAACCCTACCATATGACAAGTTTGAATTATGGTGGCTAGGGTTTGGATAGCTTCGTTTCTATTTGTAGTGCTTTCCTGGCAGCGGAGTTGAATCCCATTCGTCCCGCAGGTTGTGGATAGGAGAATGTACACTGCATCAATTAGGCGTAGAGGGATTGGGAAAATAAAGTATCCTGCGCAAGAAGACATAGTAGACGTGTTTAAGCCTTACCGAGGGCTTCGGAGCTGGTGTGATATCAGCGAAGTAAATTTTTTTTATTTTCAGCTCTGAAATGTCTGTTGGTAAGTTATTTACAGTTAGACAAAGGGTTACTAATTTTTGTTAATAGTACTAAGCGCCTATACTAGAAGACCTATCTATGTCAAGTATTTCGCAAATTCAACATACTTCTCGTTATTCATTAGTACATACAATTTTCCTATTTGCTGACAACATTGTTTTGGCAACTGTAGTTTACCAAAGCCTGTTCATCAAATTCGTTTATAGTAAGCATGGTTAGCCTTATATTCTATGATTTGCAAATTCCCGTCTTACTTATCTTGTTAATGTGCATATTCTTTACAATTTTCTCTACTTGACTCTATATTAATGGTTTTTGTTTTTAAATAGTGTACTATATATATATAACTAGTTTTCTGTTGCGTTCGGATGACGGTCATACGATTAGCGACACTGCGCAGATCTGCTCAACATTTTCAAAGTTTTTCACAACATCTGTTGAGGAGAAGGTAGAGTTGATTTATGGCCCGATGAGGGATGTATCTTGCACCGTTGGTAGCTCTGTACCCAATAGCATATTTTTGTATACTATATCCTCCGCAGAAATTCTAGCGGCCATCAAGCGCTTAAAAAACGTACNTCCCATTCGTGCAGAATGTACACTGCATCAATTAGGCGTAGAGGGATTGGGAAAATAAAGTATCCTGCGCAAGAAGACATAGTAGACGTGTTTAAGCCTTACCGAGGGCTTCGGAGCAGGTGTGATATCAGTGAAGTCAATTTTTTTTTATTTTCAGTTGTTTCATCCTATTATTATTAGCAACTGTAGTTTACCAAAGCCTGTTCATCAAATTCGTTTATAGTAAGCATGGTTAGCCTTATATTCTATGATTTGCAAATTCCCGTCTTACTTATCTTCTTAATGTGCATATTCTTTACAATTTTCTCTACTTGACTCTATATTAATGGTTTTTGTTTTTAAATAGTGTACTATATATTAATGATGTATAATACTATATTTGATACAAGGAAAGGAAAGTCAGGCAAACCTTCATCATGACATGATATCGTCATAAATTTCTTACTTCTGAAGAATTTTGGTTGGAAAATTCTCAAAAAATAGTAAAGTAGGCAATTATTGTTTTATTTCAAGTAGAATGTTGAATGTTCCACATTGACGTTGTCATTTCCTCAATTCTATGGTTAAATAATTACAACTTTATACTGTGTACAGAAATCGTTACGCCACATGAAAGGATTCTAATTTAGCGAGAAACCAAGAGCAAATCTCTTGAAATAGAGCTGCAATGGTTTTAGATAAAAGCATGCTTGTAAAGGGGATTTGTCGAGAATATACAAGAATTTTAGCAAAAATAAAATCGTGGCGATGATTTAATTTTTTTTTAAATTAAAATTTTATTTATTCACAATTGTAATTAATTTAAAAAACTTATTTAATTACCGAGTAATTAAATTTATATTTTAACTTACCTTAGCTACTGTTAAACTCATGGGTTCCAATGAAACTTCGGGTTTCGCAGTAATCCTAATATTCTTAGACAAACATTGTCTTACGCCATAATCTTCAGCAACACAAGTGTATCTTCCACTATCGTCTAATGTAGCTGCATCAATTCCCAGCATAGCCAGATGAAACTGGGATGTGGAGTCGAGTTTTTGCACCGTCGACCAGCGACTGTATACAAAGAAACGTAAATGTAGAGTTTGTTGTTGGGAGATATTTTCGCTGATCTTACTGAATTGTTCTCGATACGTTCACTAGCAAACTATCTTTATACCACCGTATGGACTTGTTTGGGGAAGCTTGAACTTTACAGGAAAGCACAAATTGATCTCCCTCGTGAATTTCTCCGTGTTTATTGATCGCTATATCCTAAATTTATTAATTATTAACGTAATATTTATAATATGTGTTAAATATTAACGTAATTAAAATATATTACGTTTAAATAATGTAAACAATCAAAGTCATTACAGAAACATTTCATTAATTTAATCCATAATTATTTAATTGTAATTATTTCGAAATGAGGGTAATAAAATAAAGGTAACAATGACAATGGGTTTTTGTTATTTAATTTAGTGTTTTTATTCATAATGGAAACGTAATACTCACAGAAATCGAGAGGATAATCGGCTGATGGTAAAACTGCACGTCCCGGTCAACAATATGAGCTTTTCCAATCCGAGCGGAAGTTGACCACTCGTTCGTGAGCTCGGTAATTCTCAACTCTTCCGTTTTCGGCCCATAGAACCGTACGGTTACATCTACTTCCGGTCCGTTCATCCTACGGCACAGAGAGAGCAAATCCCAATTCATTTTTTATTCAACGAGGAAATTGGATCTGTTCTTGTGAGTTATGGGCTATCTACCATCCCACTTCCAAACTTTTCGACAGTTTTATTTTTGTTTAACGTTTTTTTCGTTAAGGGGAAGTGTACAATGTGTACAGTTAGGATCGTTTCGAACGATAACCATATTTTGAGTTGTTTATTACAAAAAAAATATCTTTTTCACGAATAACCAATGAAAAATGTAAATATCGCGTGAAATATTTTCTATTGGTTGTAATCTGCCAACGCCGAAAATATTATTTGAAGTTTATTTAAAAATGCGTATCGCAGTTGAAATATTAATGTATATGTTTGCCCGAAAAAATAAATACAATAAAAAAAGGCTATCATAAAAAGTCAATACTTACTCAAAATTCATAACGTGCACGTGTTTAACATGCAGGTGTGCAAGTTGATTTATTATCTGTAACACACACAAAATGGTAGAAACTGTAAAACAGATAATCAAGACACACAAAAGTACAATTATTTTAGTCATTAACGGGTATCTTTTAAGATGGAATTTCTTGAGCGTTTCCTCTTAACACTAAAAGCAATTAAAATGTGTATTCGTTTGGGTTATCGCGCTTCTCGAAGCAATGAATTTCCCGTAATGGACTGAATGGACAGTTTTAGACGGGGAAATTTGAACTTGTTGATATTATTAGAACTAGACGACGAGAGTCACGGTGCTCGGAGCTTTTAGGGATCGTTGAAGCTACTGTACGGGAAATGGAAACGCAAACAAATGACTGCAGAAGTTTCTTGCAGTAACTAAGTCTGAGAAAACAGTTTGCTTTAAATTGATAAAACAAATGTTTCTTATTAGGGTGTAGTTTTTACCTCGTTACTGATGTATTCCCTGAGGTTCTTTTCTTTCGCGTCGGGTAGATCTTTGAATCTAGACGTGACAGTGAATACTTGGAGATCTGAAATAATAATAAGATTCATATTGCATTTCTCTTGTGTAGGTAGAGAAGCGGAGGCGAAACGTATCTTCGGGGACTGGATGTTTCGCTTAAATCATCCTTGGGATTATACATTTTTACGAGTAATAAAACTCTAGGGAAAATTGCTTCGAATTAATCTCTCTTTACACCAACAATAAATCGCAAAGATTTCTATTCTTGGGTTGTAAAATTTTATACTTGCCGTTTTTAAATTCCTGTAGCTTATCTACTTCTGCACAGTGGCATCCTCCTTTAACATTCGATTTTGAAACGCATAAATCCTTTTCATCCTCTATAATAACAATAAAATGTTCGTATAGTCACAAATATATCAGTAATAAATCCTACCAATTTGACCGCGCTACACCAATAATAAATAAGCAAAATCGGGTCGTGAAACACGGCAGATTGCTTGATGAGGCTATAAAACCTCTCGATTAGGTAACTCTGCTCCCATTGTAACGTCAGCACGAATTAATAATCACCCCCATATATATCCGAACAATGAAATGAGGTTTTAATGTTTTTTACTATCATTAGCGGTCGGGGAAGAGGGGGGTTAATTTAATACAGAATGACAACGAGAACTATTGGATTTATGTAGTATTAATAGGTGTTATGACGCTTTTGTTTTTGTTCAATACGTGGGTTGTATAACAAACAATATGTGTAAACAAGGCATGGAAAAAAACGGAGTGAGTCGATAATTATGTTTATATTGCGAGGGGTTGAATGCACAAATTCAAATTGGGAAAGTTTCCAAAAAAAAGCTCGAATTTCTCCTAAACCAGTTTCTTTATTGGTTCGTCGCTTCAACGCGAATATAGTATAATATGAAGGGTGAAAAATGAAAATTTTCGTCGTATAGACGGACATCCAATTTGTTTAGTAAGCCAATATAAATTCACCGAGATATTTATTATTTATTAAATCAAATTTATGATTTATCGTAATTTATGGTTTATGCGATTACATTTAATAATATTAATAATTAAGTAGAGCACTATTTACGGTAATACTCGCGGATATTAAAATGTATTTGAATTGGTATTAAAGCATCATAAAGATTTTATGAAAGTGCAGAGGCTGGTTTAATATCTTTAGCTGACAGGGTTATTTATGATATCTATAAGGGTTATATTTCTGCAAAACTTTATATTTTTTTTTAGATGAAAAAAGTTCTAATTTATTTTTGTTCCTCGGTTCTTTTTAGCTTTATCTTAACACAACAAAATAATGAATGGATTTTCAAGATAAAAATTTGTCAAACCTTTTATGATAAACTTAAAAATCAACGATGATAGCGATCTTAATGTCGTAACAAAGAAGATGGCGATTTAAAAGATAAAAGCAGTTTTCAATTTACTACGTAACTTAAGATTTTTATAATGATATATCCTAAAACGTCTTTAGATAGTTGAGATCAAATGAGATTATGAAATTAGCCTTCAACAGGAGCTAAGACTCACCATCAGCAACATATATTGTCGTCCGACGATTTAATTCAATCAAATTAACGTCGAGCTAACGCTAAATCTGGGTCAAACGTTGGTTGATAAAATCCAGAATTAGGTCAGGATACCAAAAGGGGTAACTCGTCTTTAAAGTTAATTTGCAGCAGTGAGTCAATCGGTGATTGATATTACTCTGACCTCGATGGCAAAATCCTCAACGCAACTCTAAGAGTTAACCACTTAATCCACTTTGACGAGAAGTTAACTCAGGACGCGCCATTCTTAGGTTAGAATACTCTTTAATAGAACTAAAAGCTATAAAATTTTAGTTTGAATTAAGTATTTAACAGGTATAGAGAGAATTTTTAACAAGATTCTTCATACACCTTCCTTAGAGTATGCATTTTTTTGGGTAAAAAAACTCTACAGTTACACACCGACATTTTCGCGGTGCAAAAAAAGACTATGTAATTCTCACATAAGCTATGTTTGTGTTTTTCACAAACCTCTAAATTCTAATCAGCATGCCTACACCCAAACCAAGTCCACACTTCAACTCTCTTCAACTTGAATATGATTCCATGCAACTTATGTTATAGCATAACTGCAACTAACACTTTTCTCGACATCTTGATATGATGTTAAACCATACAGCAGTAATCTAAAAACCTTACATTTTCAAAATGGGAATTGAGTTAGTTTACAAATGCGTAATCTATTATTTAAGAATGTAATGAGAATAACAAAAGGGGAAATAATTTTTAGACTTCATTTAGAAGTAAAATCACAGTTGGAAGGTTTCTGACATGCTTTCAATATTAGAATCCTAAATAGATTGGGAAAATCCTTAAGTCCAACACCAACAATACTTATTTGAATAAGTTCTAATCAATGCTATTTGGATATTTGAGTGATGTATTAATGAGATTTTTCACTTAAAAAAGGTTGAGTTGCCAAAACGACGAATAGGATTACTAAAGAGATAAACCATTCTATCTCTTTAGTAATCCGATTCATCGTTTTGGCAACGGTTGTAGCCTACAATCTTCACGATGTGCAGCTTTTATGTTCAAAAGGCTCTATGGTTACTCAGCTAGATTTACGCAATTCAAAAACCAGCAGACAACATTACTTCCTCGCAGTCTTTCAAACCAATCAACCTCTCCTTACTTTTAATGAAAACCTTAGATAGATTCATAGACTTACTTAGTTCGCTAGATCACAATCAACATCTCACCGGGGAAAGTTTACACTAACACCTATAAATTCCATGTCCAATATTATCAGGATGGCGTTTAACTCTAAAGAGTCTGTCTTGGAAGTTTTCATAGAATAAAGAGCTCCATCGATTAGATGATTTCCTTGTATTTTGATGAGACTTTGGTATAGCACAATGTTTCTACTATTCCCAATGGGCGGCTGGTTATTAGCTATGCAATGCAAAATTGAGAAAGACAACATAGGGTTGGCTAGAAATTGCTCTGAAAACTCCTGAACTGATTAGAGTAGTTGAAGATTTACAATTATAGAGTATAGAATATAATATTTTAAAAGTTTATAACTAAAAGTATGAAACTTAGTACTTTACCTAAATCGGGTAAACAAAGACTTTCTTCAGTTTTATTGAAAACCTTGATAAAACTATATGAATGCTACATAAGCATTGTCTGAGTTTTGTATGCACTACTCGATTCATGTTAACATGCCTACACCCAAGGTAAGCCTTCACAGATATTTCTTCAACCCATTTTGTCAGGAAGGTAAGTTACTTGGGAATTACTATAGCTTAATGAACCCTCTGCTCTCCATGGTTACATAAAGGACTGGCAATGCCACCTTTAAAAAGACTGTTATCAGAAGGTGTCCTAATGAGATAAACTGACATTCGACAAATGGCTATTGTGGCACCTCATTGTTTTCTAATGGCTCAACTGCTTTATCTTCACTGCATGCTACGCTAACAATCTTACTATCCTTCCCACAGGTAATCATGCCGTAGTGGTATTTGATATGATATAACTAGTACTGTATATTGCAAACTAGTGTAACAAATAAAGTTTGTAAGTAAACGCCAAAATGAAAAACAGAGGTAGTTCTTTTTATGCAGCTGTGAAAAATCGATAATCTAAAAGTGACTATGTTCGTTAGAAATCTTTACCGTTTGTCAAAAACAGTGAAATATCAGAGTCAGGCAACAAATTATTGTAGAAATCACGCTTACATAATAGAATCAAGAATACTAACGTAGCCTTCGGGCAATGTCGGAACACAAGAATTTGTCTTCACACACTGAGAGAAATGGATTGTACCTACTATGCACTAAAAATATACTATAAGGTAATATAGTATTTAATATGTTAGTGACAGCGAGACGAGATTGTGCTGAAGCATATAAATATAATGAATATAATACAATGAATTGCTGCATGTATAATATTTTTTCTATAATACGATTCGTATAATCTATTTCTCTCAGTGCAGATTTACATGATTATAATCTGATACTTGGCAGTTTAAAACATTAGAGTTTACCTACATTGCTGTGCTAAACAAAAAAATAGAGATTTGCGGTCATAGAAGACAATAAATTTCTTAAATTACACATTTTGGAGGTGGTTACAACTATGTAAAATAAAATTAAAGTAAAACTGTTTTCTGGAAATAGATGTGGTAGAAAACTACAAGGTGTGTCGTACGGCAGCAAAATTCATTAAATTCTCATTTACTTTGACACTATTAAAATCTACACTGCTTGTTGAAATAAGTGGACTGGCACAAAAATCTTTTCTAATAAGCTTCGTTTCTTTGTACAGCTTGGGAAATGTTATCACAGTCAAGAAGATTGTTTCAAACTTACTGTTGGTTTATATCAATGACATCAGAGGGATGGGCTGATTATCTGAATCTGATTTACGATTTGCCATTAGACGTCGAAAAACAGTTCCCGTGCAGATTATTTTGAAAAAAATTTATTAGAAAAATCGCTTCTGAATAATGTATCCTACAACCGTATAATGGGGTCATACACACTTATTAAATTTAGAGAAAATTTTTATGTCAAACGATATATGCAAGTATATGCATGAACACAAAGTAAAAGAAATATTTTGATCAATTTTATATTTTGCGTAATTTGAAGTGAAAAATAGCAAATATTCAAACGAAATAATTTCGCGGCTTTTCTGTGACGTAGAAACCGCACTGCCTAAAACAAGTAAATTGTCCGTTAGATAGCGCTTGCGGTGTGACAGTGTCAAAACAATACCATGGATGTAATAGAGTGTCTCTATTACATCATGAACAAAACATAATAAACATAACCTACAAACACTCTATCTCTTTTCAATACAACCTAAATGACGTTCATCTCTTTCTCGCATTTGGGCGGAGAGCAGAGGACGCAAAGGTGGATACGTACGTCATCAACGCGGGAATTTTAAAAGCGCAAATGGGTATATAAATTTTCAACAATTTTTTTAACAATGATTTTGTTCGAAAATATTCAAAAAAAAAATAACGGTAACTATATTTTTATACAAACTTTCAGAAAATATAATAAAAAAAAAAATCGTGTATGACCCCATACTCTGATGCGGAAGATACGGGACACGGTGTATAATGCTGTCAATTTGGTTGATAAACAGCAAAGGATTTGTTACGTTACTATTCCGATTCAGCTTTATAACTTGTTTGTACACTGCTCATTGTTTCATATATGATACATACAACTTCTGTTCACGTAATTTTAAAATATGAGTTAAAATTGATTGAATCCATGTTATCAGTGAAGAAAATGGTCAAAAATGAAAGACAGTTTCAATGTACTTTAACTGGTTGTAAAATTTTATTTTTCGTCTGACTAGTTTCGCCTTATAGGCATCTTCAGAGACTCTACATTGAGAAATATTTGTTTTACAATATTATACTAATCCAAACTTAAACTAATCAAAAGTTTACAACAATTACTTACTCGTTAAAAATGTGAAGTTACATCCATCTTATCAAAAAATAATTATAGGATTGACAGATTATGTTGTAGAACATTTCTTAATTCCGAAAAGTACCATAAAATTAGTTAAACTTTTTAAAATTAAAGACGAGCACGTTACAGTTTATAAAAATGGTTGAACTACGTCGTTGTTAAAAATGAAATGAAAACTCATCAAGCAGGTTTTGAGAAACAAGAAAAATCTCCGTATTAGACAGAGTATGCTATATGATGTAGAGAAAGATGAGATTAGGTTTGAAATTTTGAAAGTTGAAAAGTAGAAAACTAATTAAACATTATAAAAACATTGGTAACAATGTAGGTTGAGAATCCATTTACAAAAATTATTGTTTTTGTAAGTGGAAGGGTTCTTGAAAGGGGTAAAAGGAAAGATAGTTATATTGGGATTCTAAGTTGTTCGAAAAATTAAGGGAATTGGATATAGGAGTAGCCGCAGGACCCCAAAGCATGCGAAATATGTGTGCGGCTAAATACATAAGTCCTCTTTACTTTGGGGAAAAGGGGTTAGAAAGGAAAGTGTATAGAGGTGTTTGGGAAGACTGAACTTGGTCATTAAGACAATGTAAATCATTGTTTGTATTTTTAAATTTGTCTATTTCATAGGTTTCTAAGAGGTGTCTAAGAGACATTACAGAGTCATGTTTTTGATATCAACAAAAATGTTTCACTTCTCCACAACCAGAATAAATGTTTTAAATTAAACTTCTCACACATATTTCGCATGCTTTGGGGTCCCTCGGCTACTCCTCTCTCCTTCTTTTTCCATAATTCCTTATATTCAATTCCCTTAATTTTTCGAATAACTTAGAATCCCAATATAACTATCTTTCCTTTTACCCCTTTCAAGAACCCTTACACACTTATCGTTTTTGTAAGTGAATTCTCAACCTACATTGTTACCAATGTTTTTATAATGTTTAATAACATATAAATTTAAATTTTCAATACAGTTTTCTACTTTTCAACTTTCAAAATTTCAAACCTAATCTCATCTTTCTCTACATCATATAGCATACTCTGTCTAATACGGAGATTTTTCTTGTTTCTCAAAACCTGCTTGATGAGTTTTGATTTCATTTTTAACAACGACGTAGTTCAACCATTTTTATAAACTGTAACGTCTTTAATTTTAAAAAGTTTAAGTAATTTTATGGTAGTTTTCGGAATTAAGAAATGTTCTACAACATAATCTGTCAATCCTATAATTATTTTTTGATGAGATTGATGTAACTTCACATTTTTAACGAGTAAGTAATTGTTGTAAACTTTTGATTAGTTTCAAATAAAACAAATATTTCTCAATGTAGACTCTCTGAAGATGCCTATAAGGCGAAACTAGTCAGACGAAAAATAAAATTTTACAACCAGTTAAAGTACAGGGTGTCCCAATTTCGATGTCCGCATAGGCTATCTCCGAAACTAAAAGAGATACAAAAAAAGTAGCTTACATGTCATCATTATCTCGTTTTTCGAGAAAATGTTATTGCCGAAAACTCCGAACAGCTATATCTCACTTATTATCAAAGATGGAGTATTATAAATAAAACATTATATGGGCAACTTTTTACGAAGAATTCAGTGGCGTAGGAAGAATTTTTTTCCCATCTTTTATTTCCGAGATTTTAGACGTAACTTTATTTTTTTAAATGGAAACCATAGTTGGCTATGACCTAAAATGATTTGTTATTTCCTTCTGATAACAAATATATATAGTTTGAGGGGTATATTTCTTATAGTTATTGAATAATTAGCAAAAATTCATTTTATTCTATCTAAAACTAATGTATGTATTTAAAAGTTAATGTTGCTATGGTGATAACCATACATATTGTGATGGAACATAATGTATCAATTTTTTTTGTTCTTTCTAAAATTATTGTGTGTATTTAAAACTTAATGTTGTTATGGTGATAACCATACCATGATGGAAAACATTGTTTCCAATTATTGCCAAAGTTTGTAGTAGTATTTAAAAATTCACTAACAACTCTGGCATTATGTGCTGGTGCTCCGTCATATTGTGAATATATCATTTGAGACATATTTAATGGCAAATTGTCGACCAAAGGCTCAATGTGCTGCCTTAATATATTCAGGTATTTACCTGAGTTTAAGTTTTTATGGTAGATACTATATGTCAAAATTCTATTATCTAAAAGGGCACACCATATATTGAACCCGAATCTTCTTTGAACGCCGACTTCATCGGTTCAGATGACATTTTGAACAAACAGCAGACTATTTAATTTTTCTAAATACCATCTACAAAATTCTAATCTTAGATTGACATCTTCAGCACGTAAATAATGAGTTAGCCTCGCTTTGTATGGTTTATACTTATTTTTCTTTCATATTCGGCAGCAGCGGCTTTTGGTTCGGACGTCTTGTTCAATTTCTCTGCAAGATGTTGATGGATTTATCGCAAGTGAAGCCAATACATTGACTTTATCCTCTTTTGGGGAAGGACCAAAAATCTATTACATTTTCTGCTAACCGGCTGCAGGTTCTTACGTGCGGTTGTCTTCTTTCCGGATACCTTGTGAAATATAATTCCGCGGCTAACGTCGCATTCTTATCTGATAACATATAGCATTCCATCATGTTACATTTTTCATAATTTTCGAAATTCATTGTAAAGTTTTATTCAGTTTTGTTATACTTTGACACTTAACATGCTGGTGCATCGTACCAGCACATAATGCCAGAGTTGTTATCGAATTTTTAAATACAAACTTTGGCAATTATTTGATACATTATGTTCCATCATAGTATGTATGGTTATCACCATAGCAACATTAACTTTTAAATACATACATTAGTTTTAGATAGAACAAAATGAATTTTTGTTAATTATTCAATAACTATAAGAAATATACTCCACAAACTATATATATTTGTTATCAGAAGAAAATAACAAATTATTTTAGGTCATAGCCAACTATGGTTTCCATTTAAAAAAATAAAGTAGGTGGCGATTTCCGGTATAACCGGAAGTGCTAGAAATCTGAAAATATTTTAGACGAAGAGAACGTAATAGATAATACTTAAGCAATGTTTTTATAATGTTTAATAACATATAAATTTAAATTTTCAATACAGTTTTCTACTTTTCAACTTTCAAAATTTCAAACCTAATCTCATCTTTCTCTACATCATATAGCATACTCTGTCTAATACGGAGATTTTTCTTGTTTCTCAAAACCTGCTTGATGAGTTTTCATTTCATTTTTAACAACGACGTAGTTCAACCATTTTTATAAACTGTAACGTCTTTAATTTTAAAAAGTTTAAGTAATTTTATGGTACTTTTCGGAATTAAGAAATGTTCTACAACATAATCTGTCAATCCTATAATTATTTTTTGATAAGATGGATGTAACTTCACATTTTTAACGAGTAAGTAATTGTTGTAAACTTTTGACTAGTTTAAATTTGGATTAGTATAATATTGTAAAACAAATATTTCTCAATGTAGAGTCTCTGAAGATGCCTATAAGGCGAAACTAGTCAGACGAAAAATAAAATTTTACAACCAGTTAAAGTACATTGAAACTGTCTTTCATTTTTGACCATAATTTTAAAATATCTAAATCGGATAATATGGGACTCTTATCGGATAAGAAATTATGAAATATAATAGAGAATTAAGTTGAAAGTGAAAATTAATGTGATAATATATGTGATATAGAGAAGTCGCTATGAGCATTCAAAACATATCAGTATTGTTTTAAGATGAGATGAGATTATAAAGTATAAAGATAAGTTTAAAGACTTTATATGGAAAAATATTCAAGAATATGATACACCTCCCAAATGTGATTAAGAAATTTTACGACCAGATGTGTAGTGCAGACCTATTGGACAGTTTTATAGAAAATAACAAAATTGTGTAACATACAATGAATCTGTGTTAAAGGTTATGAATATCGAAACAACAAAATTTAGGTAAACCCGAGTTAAATTTGATCTAGTAGTTTTAACGGTGTTGACGTAGTATTAAAGTTTTTTTAATTAGAAAACTGTAACTGGTGAAAATTCGGAAACTCTGCTCTTATAACTTGGTTAATTTTATATTTTGCATCTAGCAACGCAGACAAGCAACACAGCCTTTTTTAAATGGTTATATTGTAACTAATACTCTTTGGCCTTATGGGTTTGAACGAACTTTTAATCCAAAACAAACTTGATATAACAAGTAGTAAAAAAAATCATAAAATTTTGGAAATTTGCAATTAAAGCCATAATTAAAAAAAATCGAGGAATAAAAATCAATACGTTGAAATAAATTTTTTGTTACAAAGGGACTTTGTAAAAAGTAATTTTAAATAGAGAGCAACACCAATTTAAAACGAATTTTAAATTAAAAGCAATTTAATTTCACTAAACAATTTTTTGGCATATATGGTTGCTAACCATAAAATAAGTTTGAATCATCTTTAACAAAATTGTCTTTTAATTACCGTTTCGTACGTCAAGAGCTGTTTCTTCACAAAACCGTCCTTGAAACCCTGGCGGACAATGGCACATTACCCCATTATCTCCGATGTGTCTGCGAATAATAAAATATAATTGGTGGCGGCGCGAAGTTGTGGTTTTGAAAGAGCCGAAGTTGAGTTTACGACTACAGTCGTAAACCGTCCATAGTTTCAAGCGACCGAAGAAATATTAAAACCTTCGACTTTGTTTTATTTATTTTTTTTAACTACCAAACAGAACAGAACTTGAACGAGACGAACGGATTATGTTACCTGCACGTAGCTCCATTCTTGCACAACGGTTTCGAGTTTTTATAGCATGCAGATTTCCTGCCCTCCAGGCAATGTGTACCGGTGTAGCCTTCGAAGCAATCGCACCCGAAATGACTGAAAAATAAAAATAAAAAGGAAACAGTTATTGCTGTTTCAGAGTTCAAAGCGATGTTTTTAATATTTCAGAAGTAATATTTTCTTTTAATTAATACGTTTATACAAGTATTTTTAAATTATTTCAATGTGTACATAGTAGAATGGAAATTTCAAATAAACACATCTCCATATATCACTTCCACAACATATGCAAATTATAGATATACGAGATGTGGGGAGAGAAAGGTAAAATATTGTGATGTAAATGCGCCACTATGAATGCAACGGTTTTAATAGGAATTGTTAATAATATTTTGATATAGGTATTAATATCTTTTTAGTATTATAATTTGTTCCCATTTATTTGGGTTCATTTAAAAAGCTTTCAATTTATTTTATCATTTGAAACTTCCATCCCGGTAATTGCCTATTCAAAATCCGCGATAATTTGCATACCATTTTGAATACATCGACCAAATTTGACCTGCATTAAAATTTACATACTTACGTTCGATAATCATAGCAATATCCATTAAGTTGGCAATCCATAACGGTGCAGTGATCTTCTCGAATCGCGTCACTAATCTCATAAGTAATGTTGAAACCGTAAACGTCCATAAAACCGTTTTGAACTCTAAGATTGACGTTATCCAAACTGGTGAGTTTCAAGTTTATCACTAGGGCGTTCTTGTAACTTCTTACGTACTTGACTTGAAAGATGTCTTCTCCGGATGGCATCTCCTCGATTTTGTTCCCTGGTAACCGTCTATCGTATTGGGCGTATTCGGTGAACGTAAGTCCTTCGTAGAGATACATTTGAGTGAGATATACGATGATTGAAGCGTTCTCGAAGTCTGATTTTATTATCCATTCGCATTCAATGGGAGTTTGAAATTTTCCAGGAAAATCGGGCGTTTGTAAAATACCTCGTTTCGCTGTGAAAACACCGCCGCAATTTCTTTTCGAGAAAATTAACGATGGTAATAAGATTAGGAGGAGAAACCGCAACATGATGCGGATAAATTATTAATTCATTTGAATGTTTTTCTGAAAAGAAAAAGAAAAAAAAATAAGTAATCGATTCTAAAGATTTCTGAAGATTGGAAACGAAATTAACTAGTTATCAGTAATAGATTACGAAACTTCCTGGCGCCTCCGCCAATTCTCAGGCGAGTATTTCTCATTCAAAAACACCCGTAAATCTCGGAAATAATTCGCATATCTCCAGGGGCGATCCAATTTCGGCAATGACCCGTCATACTCGGTGGAAAAGGCGTTCCAATAAAAGTTATATAAATGGAAATTCCTTCGACATGCCACGGTCCCATACACCATCGGTATACGAGTTTCTCCGTATCGAACTGCTTGAATTTGTACACATTTTGTACAAGTTCTCAATCCACAATATTCAAGAAGGTACCTCTCAACAAATATGCAAATCCCCAATACCTCCGTTTCTACGACCTTATCTGTCTGCGAATATCCGTCTATATCGAAATTTGCGTGTGAACGTGTATTAAAACGTCTACTGCAGCCTCGACAAGATTTGCGGATTTCGCCGCCTGTTTGCCCCTTTTAAGTGCCACTTCCGGTTCTCCTTCTATACTCGCTCGTGTACCAGCCACAGAAGCGCGATGATCAATCAATAATAAGGTTCAAGCTCGACAACACAAAAGAGCTAATTTATTATCGGAGCTTTCGCGTGTGTATACGAAAAAGATGGTGTTGATTCTGTTAGAACTAGGACAACGTGGCGGAGATAAAATGAATTGTACAAACTTCAAAGTGAGGATTTCGTAGTGACCGCAATCATGCCCCTTGTTTGTGCAGCTCTGCGGTTCCAAATTTGTTATACACTGGCGAGGTCAAAATAAACTGTATAGAAACTTACGTACACACACTCTGAGTGCATGTGGCGAATGTAATTTAAGCACGAAGCTTGATTGAAATGCCTTTCTAGTCCCACGAACAAATTGATTTATCACTCTAATTACCACAACTCATTAATTTTTCTTTTAATGCATTTTTCCCGGTACTTACACAACAAAAATAAGGGTCACGTTTTAGATGGTTTAACAAACAGCTCCCTAAAGTTCAGTTTCCCGCTGTCACCACAGCAGGATATTAGATAGCGGGTTGGGTCACGTTCCAAACTTATTTACAACTTAGGATCGATGTACTTCCTTTAGAGCGACAATTAATTTCCTCCCCAAAGAAAATTCTCGATTTCTATTCTCCAAAATTCCGATCTAATCAAGCCCGCATCCTGGCCAAAATATACACAAACCGAACCGCAACGCACCGCTTCGGCCATTAAGCCCTAAATTAAATATCACGCAGTGGATGCACGTCTCTCAAATTTAAATTTAAATCCGATTTTGAGGCATTTATCCACAGGATTTAATTATTATAATTTGGGTGACACTGTTTGGGCAACGGTTTGGTAAATTAAACAAAGCGCGGTCGTGCGTAACAAATTTTGTGTGAAGCTAACAAAGGAAAAAAACTTGTAAAAACGTTCGCTTGTAAAACCGGATGAAAAACTACATTGCCGGAGGCTCGATGGTACCGAAAAGTGCACTTCACCCGCATCTGCATCCAAATTACTTCCGCGACTTCTCGCTTTGTCATTTTACGAACAGCATAAATCTGAGACAGCTACAGAGAACCGACTTTATCGGATTTTATCAGAAATACGATACGGAATGATAAGTTCTTCTTTGAAATGGCGGCAAAGAAGTAATTATTACTCTAGAATAAAAATTTTTGTATCTAAAATTGTAACTATTTTATTATATTATAAATAATAATTTCTTCATTTGAAGATACGAGTTTGTTTCAACGCAATTATAACGCAGAATAATTGTTTCAGATGTCTACGAAGTTGATGTGGTTGAAGAACCCGCTGACCTAAAGGCATATAATTTGAGGTTTTCTTCTATTTTGGCTTCAACCGGACGTCTGCAGGCTATTATGCCCCATAAACAGCACAGTTGTGAGTTCGCCTGAGAATGTGGGATCACATTGCAAAACAAGGTTGGCTACCTAATAACCCTCTTCTAATAAAGATGAGGACGTTTGCGTCAAGCATTGCTTGAAATTAAAGGTATAATCTTCTTCTTTTAAGAAATATAAATGTTATTGTTTTCGTGTTGGAAAGATTTTATAAAAAGATTAAATGAATGATTCATTTTTGAGGGTTTAGGTAAATCACAAAAAAAATGGTTAAATTTGAAAAATCGTGGAAGTCTGATTTTTGAAATTAATGACATGGTTTTTATATCAAATTAAAGCTTGAACTTTTCTCTTTAAGAAAACATATAACTCGTTGCTTCAATTTGAAACCGATGTCATAAAAAGAATTATAAATAGAACTATGCAAATTTAGATTTAAAATAAAACAATTAAAATATGATAAGTTCGAAAAATCTTAGCTGTAAAAATTGAGAAACGCAAAATTGAACCTTATACTTTCTTTTTTTAATAAATATAAAAAACATTGTGGCGGTTTAAAAGAATTTTTATAAAACAAATCTAAAAATAGGTACTTTTTTATGATTAAAAAATGGAGTAAAAATATTGAAATTAAAAAAATCGCTCAAGTCGTATTTATGAAAGTTAAGAAATAATTCTTGAATTAAATTATAGCTTAAATCTTCTTCTTTCAAGAAATATAAAACATTAAGTTTTCGTGTTAAAATGATTTCGAGGCTTTACTTGAATCACAAATGAAAATGATTAAATTTAAAAAATCGTTGAACTCTTATTTTTGAAATTAATGATACGACTTTTATATCAAATTAAAGCTTGAACTTTCCTCTTTAAGAAAACATATAACGCGTTGCTTCAATTTGAAACAGAAGTCATCAAAAAAAAATTATAAATAGAACTATGCAAATTTGGGTTTAAAGAAAAACTTCTAAAACATGATAAATTGGAAAAGTCATATTTTTGATAATGAAGAAATGATAAATTAATGTTTATACGAAACTTGTTTAATAAATATTGAAAATTACGTAGAGATTTGAAAGAAATTTTTATTAAAAAAGTCTGGCCATCTATGCATTATTAAGATTAAACGAGAAAAGAGAGATTGAATCTATTAAAATTGTCCAAGTTATATTTATGAAAGCTATGAAATAAGTCTTACACCAAATTTATACTGAAATCTACTTCTTTCAAGAAATGTAAACGTTACTGTTTTAATATTGGATAGATTTAGTAAACACAATTTTGATGCGTCTTAAAGGTTCTAGGTTTAGGTTAATCACAAAAGAATATGATTAAATTCAAAAAATCGTGGATGTCTTATTTTTGAAATTTATAAAATGAATTTGATATCAAATTAAAGCTTGAACTTTCCTCTTTAAGAAAACGTATAACTCGTTGCTTCAATGTGAAACACCTTTTAACCGAAAAGTTATAAAGACAACCGTGCAAATTTGGGTTTAAAACAAAATATTAACCGTTTTGGTAAATTTTTCATAAATTTGAAAAATCATATTTTGGAAAACTAAGGAATAATAAATTGGAATTCATACTTCATATTTTTAATAAATTTAAAAGATATTAACCGCAATTAGAAAGAATGTTATATCCATGGAGTTTTAAGATTCTAATACAAAATGAATAAATTAAATTAAAATAATCGCTCAAGCCACATTAATGAAAGCTAAGAAATCACTTTTGCATCAAATTAAAGCTTCAATTTTCTTCTTTCGAAAAATGTAAAAGTTATTGTTTTAGATTTAGAAAGATTTTGTAGAAAATGATTTAAGTAAAGATATTTTTTGTAGGTTTAAGGTGAATCACAAAAGAAGATGATTAAATTTATAAAATCTGTGGAAGGCTTATTTTTGAAAATTATAAAATAAGTTTTATAACAAATTAAAGCTTGAACTTTCCTCTTTAAGAAAACGTATAACTCGTTGCTTCATAGTGAAACACCTTTTAACCGAAAAGTTATAAATACAACCGTGCAAATTTGGTGACTAATCGTTTTGGTAAATTTTTCATAAATTCGAAAAATCATATTTTGGAAAACTAAGGAACAATAAATTGGTATTTATACTTCATATTTTTAATAAATTTAAAAGATATTGACCGCGATTAGAAAGAATTTTTATATCCATGAAGTTTTAAGGTTCAAATACAAAAAAAAAATGCTGAAATTAAAATAATCGTCCAAACCATATTTATCAAAGCTAAGAAATCATTTTTGTACCAAATTAAACCTTCAATTTTCTTCTTTCGAGGAATGTAAAATTTATTGTTTTAAATTTAAAAAGCTTTTATAGAAAGAAGTTTAAGTAATTATGCGTTTTTAGGTTTAAGTGAATCATAAAAGAAGATAATTAATTTTAAAAAATCTGTGGAAGGCTTATTTTTGAAAATTATAAAATAAGTTTTATAACAAATTAAAGCTTGAACTTTCCTCTTTAAGACAACGTATAACTCGTTGTTTCAATGTGAAACACCTTTCAATCGAAAAGTTATAAAGACAACCGTGCAAATTTGGGTTTAAAATAAAATATTAATCGTTTTGGTAAATTTTTCATAAATTCGAAAAATCATATTTTGGAAAACTAAGGAACAATAAATTGGTATTATACTTCATATTTTTAATAAATTTAAAAGATATTGACCGCGATTAGAAAGAATTTTTATATCCATGAAGTTTTAAGGTTCAAATACAAAAAAAAAATGCTGAAATTAAAATAATCGCCCAAACCATATTTATCAAAGCTAAGAAATCATTTTTGTACCAAATTAAACCTTCAATTTTCTTCTTTCGAGGAATGTAAAATTTATTGTTGTAGTTTTAAAAAGATTTGGTAGAAAAAAATTTAAGTAATGATGCATTTTTTAGGTTTAGGTGAATCATAAAACAAGATGATTAAATTTAAAAAATCTGTCGATGGATTATTTTTGAAAATTATAAAATAAGTTTTGTAACAAATTAAAGCTTGAACTTTCCTCTTTAAGAAAACGTATAACTCGTTGTTTCAATGTGAAACACCTTTCAATCGAAAAGTTATAAAGACAAC